TTTTGGTAATATTAAAAAAATAGGATTTTTGGTAATATTAAAAATAGGATTTTGGTAATACTAGAAAAATAGGATTTTTGGTAATATTAAAAAAATAGGATTTTTGCCTTTGAGGCCATATTCTAGGACTCAGATTTCACCCTTTCCCCCAAGAGGAGGAGAAGCCATCACCTCCCACGGGATCCAGCCCCAGCCCATCCCTTACCAGGCCATGCGGGACATGGCGTAGGTGACCCGGGGCTGCGGTGTCCCCCCGAGCAGCGATGACGTTGGGATGCTGTAGGCTCCCATGTTCCCAAAAACCAGCCAGTCGCCCACGTGCAGCTGGGGCAGCTCCAGCCCGTCAGCGATGCGATCCTCGGCGTGCCCAGGGGGACCCCGGAGGCTGCTGCTGTGCCAGGGGCGCTCTGGGCACGGTCTCTGCGGGACAAACACGGAGCAAACACCGGGGTGAGGTGTCACAGAAACCCCAAAATCCAACCCAGGAACCCGGGGAGCGGCCACAGCATCACTGAGGTGATGCCAGCCATGCTGAGGGACATCCTGGGCTGTCCCCAAGCCGGGGGAACGCTGACCTTGTGCAGGCGTGGCTGGGGACAGGGGCTGTCGAACAGGAGGCAGCTGAAAGCACCGTAAACGCCATCACTCAGGTGGTACACCAGGCTYTTCTTGCTGCCACACTCTTCCTCTGCAGGGAAAGAGGAGAGAGGGCTCAGAGGGGCTTGGGGACACGGGGGGACCCATCCTGCTGTCACACCTACCATCAGAACCGGGCTGCTCCACAGGAATCTCCTCCAAGGCGGTGATGCTGACAGCCAGGGTGAAGGCGGAGGTGACATAATATCGCCCAGGTCTGGCGATGATGTCCACCCCGCTGTCCTCGGGGAAATATAAATCCAGGGCAGAATTCAGCACGGCAGAGATCTGGGGAGGAAGGAAAATAGCTCACTTTTGGGAATTCTGCAGGGAGCCAGAGGCAGGGAGAGCTTCCAGGGGTTGGGAGTTTGGTACCTCTTCCAGCGGCGCTCTGGTGTCCTCGGTGCCGGGGAAGCCACCGCCGATGTCCAGCAGGTTCATCCGGTAGCCCAGCTCCGTGCCCATGTCAAACACCAGCTGTGCTGCAGCCACAGCCTGGGCCAGGGCCTGGGGCTCCAGCCCACGGCTCCCCAGGTGGAAACTGAGGGCASAGACCCCGTTTCAGYRGGRTTTGATCATCCCCARAGRGCTRAGAGGACACGRCACCGGGATTGTCCTCGTTGAGGASAGTTTCCCACACGCCATCCCAATCCAGAGCCACAGAGCTCCCCACGGAGCCTTTTTTAGGGTCAGAACCGCTCTAAATTCTACAGAAAAATGGCCACGTGCTGTACCTGACGCCAACAACCTCCACAGCCTGCTCCTTCGCCATCTCCAGCAGGCGCCGGCAGGATTTGAGCGTGGTCCCAAAGGTCATGCTCGGGTGGGCAGAAGGGATGGAGTCAGCGGTGATCCCCAACAACATCCTGCACAGCAAAGCCATGCCGTTTTGAGGGTTTTTGGCATCACAGAATCATTTTTTAAAAAGTCTTTGAGRGCTGGAAAAGCCCTCAAAGATCACTGAGCCCAACTATKAACCCCCAATATTAAATCCAGCATGAAACCACATTCCCAAGCACCACATTTACAARTTTTTTTAACTCTTCCAGAGATGATKATTCCACCACTTCCCTGGGCAGCCTGTTCCAATGCCTGATCACCTCTCCAGCAACCAAATCTTTCCTCATTTCCAATCCAAACCTCACCTGGCACAACTTGAGTGGGGAGGCCGAGGGCGCGCATTACAGCCCCACAAATCCTGAATCTGAGACTCAGCTAATTATCATTTATGACTGAGTCCTGGGAAACTAAAGGGAGGTTTAACAGCCTACATGAAGGAGGATGCTGTCTGTAAACACCACAACCTTGGCTGCCTCTGGGAAAGGAAAAATGGAATGTTGTACCAAAAACACGGGTGTTCAAAGACAGAAACAATAACCCACCATATACAGAAACAATAACCCACCATTTTCTACTCATATACTGTTGAGTAGAAAATGACAACCTCATTAACATTAACCAATGTATATTTGCCACAAAGTTGCTAAATGGATAAAAGGGGCTTGTGCCTGAATAAAGTAGTGTTAGTTTAGCTGTTAGTTTGATGTGTGTCTTTGTGTCTGTTATTTTGTGTTGCTGCCTGGCCAACAGCGACACTCGAGGCCGTTTCCTCTTGTCCCATCTCTTGGGAGAAGGAACCAACACTCACCTCCTACACCCTCTTCTTGCTCCCACAACCCCAGTGGTGCTCTCTTGATGCCTTAGGATTTTTTGTTTCTGTATTTTCATGCGTCTGTATTCTTGTACTTCTCTAGTACAGCACTAAAAACTACCGTTCTCTCATCTTTAGACAAAACAATCCCTCTCTGAGCTGAATCCAAGGACAACTCAGAGCCCCAAAATATGGAAACAACAGAGAATTGGGGGTGGGGAGCAAGTTTGGGGTGGGTGACATCATCACCTGTAAAGATCATTAGGGAATTAAGACCCAATATGTTAATAAGACAGAACTGATAAAAGGTGAAGATCTCGTGACTCTGTGTCCATTTTGGGTGTAGCCTCAGGAGGAGGCTTTGTCTGCCCTAATGTACCAGGGGGGCTGTTAGGCCTGGATTAAAGTTGTCTATTCTCATTCTCTTAAGTTTGTCTGGCCTTTTTTCAGATCAGCCTGATTGATAAGGCATCACTCTGRCACCCACCTGGCACGAGGGTGGCTCCTGGCCACCTTGCCCAGCTCCACCTCGTTGTCGAAGGCCATCAGCCTCACGCCACGGCTAGCTGCGTATTTGATGTGGGCAACCTGCTTGCAGGGGCTGCTGTAGAAAATCCTGTCAGCTGGGACCCCGATGCCTTGAACCCGTGTGATYTCTGCCTGTAGGGGACAAGGGACACGTGTAGGAGGTGGCCCCTGGAGCAGCCACACCAGATTTGGGTCTTGGCCAGCTTGCAGGGCAAAAAGCCAGCCTGGCTTTTTCAGGGAAAAGCARCCAGAGCTCAAAGGGATCGCAGTGGACTTTGTCCTGGTACATTTTTTTTTTTTTGTCCTGGCAAGGTTTAAAATCAGCATGAGAAAAGGAGAGGGAGCAAGTGGGGTAGCAGGTGCGTGAGCCCTGGTCTCAGCTGTGACAGCTCTTGTGTTTTCTCCTCCTGGAAACGTGTCCTATTTAATTACATAAAAGTAAATKATTTAATTTTGTAAGCCTGGAAATSTGGAGAAGCAGGAGGGAGCAGGGAGCTTCAGGCTCAGCCCCGAGGACACGGGGAGTTGGACAGCTGTGGCACCCCGGGGATGTTCCGTGCCACCAGGCTCCAGGGACAGAAATGTCAGCCAAAGAGAACAAGACAGAGAGGACAAAGATTTCTGGGCCGTGTCAGGAGGGTTTTGACAGCAGAGGGAGACTCCTGCCCCTGTAAATCCCACCTAGAGAGGAGATTTAGASAAGGAGGCTGAGCTCTGTCACTCTGTCACAAACATTTCCCAGGGAACTGTCCTCCCACAGCCCTACCTTGTTGGCACAGGCAAATCCTGCCCCCAGCTCTGCCAGCAGCCGGATCACCCCCTCGCTGTTGTTGCATTTAACAGGGAAATAGGGTTTCACTCGGGGTAAGGCCTTCAGGAAATACAGATGTTTCTTCACGATGTCCCCGAGGTCTGCCACGAAGAACGCCTGCTGGTCGCTCTAGGAGAAAATCCAGGGGTTGAGCAGCAGCTCTGGGAGCTGCTTTTTTGCTGCTTTTTTTTTTTTTTTTTTGCCTTTTCCAAAGGCAGCACAGAGCAGCAGCTCTCACCTCCTGGCACAGCTCCCCCAGGAGGTTTTCCAGCAGGTCTCTGGTGGTGAAGCCCTCCTCCACCATCAGGAAATTGGATTCATTTAAATACCCGTTCATGGTGTGATGTTCAGGGTGTGAAGATGCTCCTTTAAAGCTTCCTGGAGCGGGGGATGGATTCTAAGGATGGGACAGACTGTAAAAAGATCACTGAGCCCAACTATTAACCCCAAATATTAAATCCAGCATGAAACCACGTTCCCAAACTCCACCAGGTGCCCCTGAGTTGAGCTCTGCTCTGCTCTGCTTCACACCAGCACCTCAGCAGAGCCCTGCTGTGGGTTCCAGCATCTCCTCCGGGGGAGGAGACACRTTTCTCTGCAGCTCAGAGCTCTGTTTTGGCACACAGCAGCCTCATCTCCATCAGCAGGCACCAGCACAGTCAAAAACAAAGCCAACTGCATCACAGAGAGAGGAGAGATGCCTTTACAGGGCAGGACAGGCTCCTTCACGCTCWGGAATGCAGCTGGATCTGCTGAGTGTTCAATGGGGTGAACATCCCTTATGGATTCCCAGCAGCTGAATGGGAAATGGGTCAATTTTCCCAGTGGAAAGCCCCAGGAAATGGGAAGCACAGCACTCTGTGAGGCTCACTGACACCATCCAACCCCAGGAAAGTCTGGATCCGTGCTATGTTTCCTGTTTCACGGCTCTCCCACCACACAGGGCGTGGAACAAGGGGACAATGAAGCTGCTCAGAGATTTCTGGCTCATCCCAGCAGAGCTTTAGCATTGAGCTTACACCCTCAGCTTCAACAATCTCCTGCCCTGCACCCAGCCTGTCCCATAACCCACGGAGCTGTTGACCTAGCAGGGAACATTTCCACTCCAATAACCCAGGTCTGGCTCCAGGGCTCTTCCAGGTCTCTCTGATTTGAAGTGAGCAGGAGACAGAGATTCCATTTCCCACACCTCCTCCTCCCCACAGAGACCTGACAACATTCCAAGGGGAGCACTGGGAGAAAGACCACGCTGACCCCGGAGCAGCAGGATGTTGTAATGCATTGAGCAAGCACCACCAGCGAGTTCCAGAGAYGGGGAATGAGGTGAAAAGACATGATTTGAAACTCTTAGAGCTTCATATTCAGGAAAGGAGAGCAATTCTTCTAACCTTGGCTGTAAATCACCAAGCAGCACCCAGCCCACCCCGGTCATGGGTTATTCCTGTCAGAACACGTGCCCCAGCCTCAGAATGTCCCCTCCTTACCACGGTCCAGTTGTCCCCCGCAGGAATCCCGGTGTCAGGGGGGCTGCCCGAGGAAYGCCGAGCTCCCGCAGCAGCCCGAGGTGTAGCTGTGGCTGGGGGTCTGGGGTCCCTGGGGAGAAGCAGTGCAGGGGTTAGAGAGGGAGAGGGGCACTGCCAGCACGGTTCCCTCCACCCCCATCCCCAAATTCAGCAAGCACAGGCACCCTACAGCTCCCTCCCCGCAGCTCTCCCCGAGCCCCCTTACCTCAGAAAGCATTTAAACAGATTCTGCCATGGRTTTCCCAAGAGAATGAACCGGCCCCGGGGTCGGCTGTTTGTCCTTTCCCAAATTCCTGTCCGCCCCGAGCCCCTGCAGAGGATGGGGGTGCTCTGCACCCCTTCTCTCCCAGCGCTCCCTCCCTGCTCTGCCTCCCAACCGTAGCCATGGCAACCAAATCCAGCCACCCCATTGGCTGAGCCGCCTCCGAGCATCCTTCATCCTTTTTGGAGGATGCTCCCCCTCCTCGCCCACCCTCTCCCAGGGTTGGGGATGCCCCCAGCAGTCACCCCGAGCTCTCACCGAGTCCCCGCAGTGCCGGGAGCTCATCCCCAGCCCCGCAGCCCCGCAGCCCGGCTCTGCTTCCCGCGGCTGTGCATCCCGAGCGCGGGGACCCTCGCAGGGAACAGAGCCCAAAATACCTCGGAAATGCTGCTGCCGGGGAAACCGGGCTTCCTGCAGATTAAAGGCTGAGCCGTGTTTGGCTGGGACTCCGGAGAGGAGGAGGAAGGGGGGAAGATGTCAGGGACTGATCCTGCCCTTGCTGAGCTGCTGTTGGTTTTGGTGGGTGCCCCAGCAGCAGATCCAGCTCTGCCATCAGTGAAGGTGCTCTGCCTGATCTCTCTTTGCTGCATTGGTGCTCCATCCCACAAACAGCACAAGGATTTTTTATTTCTTCTCGTTAAATTTGCAGGTTCCTCTCTGGTGTTGCTGAGGAGCCAATGTTCTGTGTGTGGAGGGGTAGATGTCCCCACCGAGGGTGTGAGAAGCACTGATTTTTTTTTTTTTTATTTATAAACCGATTTATTAGGTTTTTGTATTCAACACTGTGGTCTTGGCTTTGCCACAGGCTGTCCTGGCAACCAGGGCCAAGCAAGCTCTTGTCTCCTGTGAGATCCTGGCCTGTTTTGCCGGTGCTCTGGCYCATCACCAGCGCTGGACTGTGCTGTGTAGGATGCAGGGGCCGTGCAGAGAGGCTGGGAGAACAGAGAGATGCCGAGTTCTGCAGTGCCAGTCCCTCCTGGATSTGCTGGGCAGAGCAGGGCAAACACAGCTCAGAACCACAGAATCAAAGAAGCTGGAAAAAATCTCTGAGATCAAATCCAACCTATGACTAATCACCACAATGACAACCGGATCACAGAACTAAGTGCCACATCCAGTCTTTCCTGAAACGCGCCCAGGGATGGTGATTCCACCGCCTCCTTGGGCAGCCCATTCCAAGGTCTAATCACCCTTCCTGTGATGAAATCCTTCCTAATGTCCAACCTGAASCCCTTCTTGCGTAGCTTAAGACTGTGTCCTCTTGTCCTGTCACYAGGGAGACAAACCCTGCCCCCAGCTGGCTCCAAACTCCTTTCGGGTACATGTACAGAGTGATAAGGTCACCCTTGAACCTCCTTTTCTCCTGACTCAGCCGCCCCAGCTCCCTCAGCAGCTCCTCATCAGACTCGTGCTCCTGCTCCG